ATTCAAAAATTGTAAACTTTAACCTTACAACTCAAAAAATACTTTAGAAAAATACTTTATTATAGTGTTTGGAAAGCTGTCAAAGTCAGCTACAAAATTATGCAATAAAAATATAGTGTTCCATTTAAAAATTAAACGTGACCTTCATGTAACCTTCAAATAACTCTTCAAGATCAAATCAATGGTATAAAGAGATACGAGTTGTGTTCAAAAAGTATCGCGAATTTTGTGTTTTTTCAAAAATTATTTATTTATTCATGAATATCTATTTTGTCCCCTTCAAAGTAATCCCCACCAGATATTATACACTTGTGCCAAAGTTTTTTCCAATCCTCGAAGCACTTCAAAAAATCATTTTTGTGATCTTGTTCAGCTCCTTCTTCGATGCCGTCTTTATCTCCTCAATCGTAGCGTAGCGTCGTCCTTTCATTGGCCTCTTCAGTTTCGGGAACAGAAAAGTCACAGGGGCCAGATCTGGGAATACGGTGGCTGCGGCATTATTAGTGTGTTGTTTTTGGCCAAAATTCGCGCACAAGCAACGATTTTTGGTACGAATTTCGCGGCGACCCGTGTCATGCCCAAATCATTGGTAAAATCGAATGGCACGAGCCAATCGATATGTTTAGGTCCTCAGCAACTCTCTAACGGTGATTCGACGATTGACCAATACTATTTTCTTCACTTCATCAATGTTTTCGTCTGTTGTTGACGTGCTCGGGCGTCCGGCACGCTCTTCGTCGTTCACATCTTCTCGGCCCTCGGAAAACATTTTGTACCACCGATAAACGTTGCTTCGGTCCAAGGTAGCTTCACCATATGCCACAGTCAACATTCGGAATGCGTCCGCGCACTTAATTTTGTTTTTCAACACAAAATTTGATACAGATTCTTTGATCCATTTTTGGAATAGGCAAAAATCGAAGACGAGCCAAAACACGTGCAAGCAAAGCAGCTGTCAAAAATTAACTGAACATTCAAAATGGCCGTACTTGTCGGCATAAATAGAAACATGAGTACCAACATAACGCCACAAAAAAATCGAAAATTGAATATACGTAACCCGCGGAAATTCAAAATCGCGATACTTTTTGAACACACCTCGTATACTTAATAAAGACTTACATTTCTGCGGGTTGTCGTCCTGGCACCAACAATTGTAATACGTATTGGGGCCGAATATCGCGGCTAGGCAGTACGTAGCCGGGTTGCATGTAGCCAGCTGCATGTGGCCGTGATCGACCTGCAGGGATCAATCGGCATGAGCGGTGCAGGCATCGGTATTGCTGCAAAAATATGTTTAATGTTATATATATATATATTGCATATATATATGCATATATATATATATATATATATATATATACGATATTATTAACTTATTAAATTCCTTACGTATATATTATTTAATTATTAATTCCTTACTATATGAAACATTACCCAAACAGCACAAAGTTGTCTAAAAGTGACTAAAAGATGACATATTTTTTATAAAGATGTCTTTCAGTGAGAGCTTATAGTCAAAGAAAAGATGTCTAATAGACGACATATGTCCGACTAAAAGTCATCTTACATTCTTAACTTATAAGATATCTAAAAGACATCTAATTTTGGACATCTTATAATCGTCTTTTAAAAGACATCTTATAGTCGTCTTTTCAAACTATATCTTGGATATGTTTTCGTTAACTTTATTTTATAAAAAATTATTTTAATTATAATAAAAATTAGAAAATGAATTTTTTTATATAAAACAATTTATATACAATTTATATAAATTTATATAAATTTATAAAAGAAACATGTTTATTATATTTTTTTATTACATAACATTATATTCTCTATTATATAATAAATTTTTAATTTTTTAAAATTATTTTTTATACTAATATGCATACATTTGTATTATTGCCAAACAAAACAGCGTAATAAAATAAAATATAAAGTATAGCATATAATAGCAGAGTAATATAATAAAAGATTAAATATTAGAATTATATGGATGCAGTTATGAAATATGGAATCAATATGGAATCAAATATGGAATCAATTTTATGTCGAAATTACTATTGCAAATTTTTAATAAAAATCTTGAAATCAAAAAATTTATGATTGGTTCCGTAAAGCATAACTCCATATAAGATACTATTAAGGATAATACAATATTAAAAATTAAAATATTAAGATGGAAACGATAAAAATTAAAGATGGAAACGATTAAAATTAAAGATGGGAACGATTAAAAATTAATATTAGGATATTAAATATAAATAATCAACAACTTATGAAATAACAAATTATGAAATAATCATGTTTTATGTCCCAGTTTTAAGTGATAACGAAATCTGTCTCCAGCTCTTCTTAACCATGCCGAAAATTTACTACTTAGGTCACTATATGTCAAAGAATTATGTACATTTAAAATAGTTCCTAAAAAAGTTTAAAATTATAAAATGTATTTAAATTTATGTATTTAAATTTATGTATTTAAATATAAATTTAAAGTGTAAGACAGGCAATAAGAGCCAAATCACGAATGACAGTGCGTTATCCCAACGAAACTAAATTTTTTTGTTAGAATTAAATACCTGTGCACAAGGCACCAAATTTTACTTGGTCACGGCCAAGATTTAAAATTGAAATAATCTCGACAAGAGATTTAATTCCATACATCCCCTATTCCCCCCTAAGTTCCAGATTCAGCGACTTTCGGATCTATATCTTTCTCTCGCATTTATTTCCTTAGGGGGGAACAGGAATGTATGAAATTAAATCTCTTGTAGAGATTATTCCAATTTTAAATCTTGGCCGTGACCAAGTAAAATTTAGTGCCTTGTGCACAGGTTTTAATCCTAACGAAAAAATTTAGTTTGACTCTTATTGCCTGTCTTACACTTTATATTTATATTACAGAGCCTTGTTAAACTCTTAATTTATGTATTTAAATTTAAAAAATTTCATATATTTAATATATATATATATTAATTAAAATAATATAAAACTATATTTAATTAAAATAATATAAATATTACCAATAATATAATATCAGAAAATATTGTGTTCTTTATCCCTTCAGTTTGACGTTGACCATCCCAAGTTAATCCTTTGGCAAGTTTATTTGTGAGTTATTACTAAACTATTGTTTAAATGTTTTTCTGCATTTTGCCCACCAATAGTTCGAATTTTTTTTTGCTGTAGGAATATAAAATACATTATTCTTAATATTAATTTATTTTATAAAATAATTTATAACTTATAAATTGTTTTCGGAGTTCATCATTATTTTGTAATTCGTTACAAAAACGCTTAAAATTGTCTATATCATCCAATGGAAAATCTGGCAATAAATCAAATGACGTATTTGGCGCTGTCAGGTTTTGGTCATAGTTTAATATGGCTAAAATATTATCTATTTCCATATTTTCAACATTAAGCAATCTATTGTAGAAGTTTTTTCTATAAAAAAATTAGAATTATTAATTATTAGATTAGAAAGATAAATTCACAAAATTTGTTACTATATATACATATATACCTTTGCTTGAAGTTATATTTTCTTTAACAGTTTCAATTTTTTGCCGGCTTTTAACTTTTTGCAGTTCTAATTCAGAATCATTTCTCACTATTTCAAGAAAAGAAAAGTAATTGTTTTATATAAATAATAAAAATATCAGATCATTTAGAAAACATGGAAATGACATACAAACGAGATTTCTTTTTATTTTACGTTTAGGAAAGTTTTCTTCATTTTTTTTCTTTATTTTTAAATGGTACCCAGGATTATAATTAACTAAAAAAATATGTTAAAGACATAACAAAAATCTAAAATTAAAATTAAGATATTATTACATACTATGTTTTATTATAGGAAACACTTTTTTTCTTTCTACTTTTGATGATTTTGGAGATATTTCCGTTTGTTTGTCTGTAATATATAAAAAAATATCAATTTTAATTAATATATTTTTAAATATTAAATTTTAGTTTTAAATACAAATTATATACATATTATTAATAGCAATTAATTATATTAACCTCGCAAAATTTCTTCATTTTCTGAGAAATAATCACCGTAATCCAATGATTGCGAATTTAAATTAGTATTTGATAAGAATAAAGAATTGTTGTTTTTATTTACATCTGAAAAAAATATATATAATACATAAAAAACTTTTATCATAAAGATAGTATTATAAAAAGTGTGTATATAAAAAATTTTTTAAATACGATTTTTTCTTTTAATTATTGTTGTATTTAAAATTATTATATTCTTTTAAATTGATTTATTTTTATTTAAATTTGCCATTAGTGTTGTGATTATATCATTATATTTTCTTTACTATTTTTATAACTGACAAAAGAAGTTTTAAATATTTTTTAGCAATTTTTGTATTGAAAGTGCAAATAATAAAATTAGTTAAAAAAATTTTTTTTATAATAAAATATAATAATGCTTTTTACATTGTTTAAAAATATAGAATAATAAAGAATGTAAAAAATGTAATCTTGTAGTCATTAAAAACTTTTCATTTTAAATAAAAGATATAGAATACTTTTATGAGATTTTTTTCTGTAAGTATAATACATCTATATATATAAGCACCGTCTGTCTGTCTGTCTGTCTGTCTGTCTGTACCCGAACTACTTCCGCATTTGTGGACCAATTTTCGTGAAACTGGTACCAAAATGTTGCAAATTTTTCGGGGGTGGCTGCTGTGGGTTTTTTTTTAATTTTTTAATTTTTTTTTCCTTAGAGGAGGGTATGTTTCTTTTTTTGCAATATTTCTGAACACATGGTATCAAAATGTTGCAAATTTTTTGGAGATAGCGACGATGCGGTTTTTTCAAGTGTTACACCTTCACCCACGCACCCACCCACGCATTCATCCACACGCATGCGCATTTATGGACCAATTTTCACGAAATTAGTACCAAAATGTTGCAAATTTTTTTGAGAAAACTGCTGTTTTATTTTTTTAAGTTTACGCCTCTACCCACGCACCCACTCACGCAATCGCATATTTATGAACCGATTTTTTTTTAAATTGGTAAAATGTTGCAAATTTTTTGGAGATGGCGACGATGTGGGTTTTTCAAGTGTTACACCTCCACCCACGCATTCACCCACGCGCATGAGCATTTATGGACCAATTTTCACGAAATTAGTACCAAAATGCAAATTTTTCTGAGAAAGCTGCTGTGTGATTTTTTTAAGTTTTATCCCACCCACGCATTCACACATTTATTCACACTTTTTCGAAATTTGTACTCAAATTTTGTCGGGAATGGCTACTATATGATTTTAACCAATTTTTATCACCCTATTCATCCGCCCAAGCATCCACCCACGCATCCATGCACCCATGTGCATACGCATTTATTGACCGATTTTCACGAAATTGGTACCAAAATGTTGCAAATTTTTAATAGAAAGCTGTTGTGTGGTTTGTTCAAGTTTTATCCCAATCACGCATCTACCCACGCATTCACACATTTATTCACAAAGTTTTTCGAAATTTGTACTAAGATTTTGTAAATTTGTCGGGGATGGTCAATATATGATTTTAAAAATTTTTAACACCCTATTCATTCACCCACGCAACTACTCACACATCAACAAATTTATAAACCGATTTTCTCGAAATTGGTACCAAAATTTCGAATATTTTTCGGGGATCGATAATATGTGTTTTCTTTTATTTTACCACCCTATTCACACACTTACGCAACCACCCACGCACCAACACATTTATAGATCGATTTTCTCGAAATTGGTACCAAAATTTTGCATATTTTTCGGGGATCACTACTATGTGTTTTTTTTAAGTTTTACAATATTACATACACATCCACCCACGCATTCATATATTTATTGATTAATTTTCTCGAAATTGGATATCTATTTATACCTATATATCTATATTTATAAGTTGCAAATTTTTTGGGGAGTGTGATGAGATGGTGGTTTTTTTAATGTTTTAATTTTTTTAACATAATGTGTCTTAAAGAAAGAGATAAATAAGAATTATTAATTTACATTTTGGTACCAGTTTCACGAAAATCGGTCCACAAATGTGGAAGTAGTTTGCGGTAATACAAAAAAAAGAATTAATTTTTTGTGTTAAAACGGATTTAATATAGGCTATATGAGGACCGCGCGAAGCGCGATCCGAAAAGCTAGTATAATTTAAAGGCCAATTAATTTACAATATTTAAAAAATTATAATAATTTTTATATTAAATATATGTTTTAATTTACCAGATTTCGATTCTGTATTCTCATCAAAACTTTTCTCATGGGTTTTATAACTCGAATAAGAATGTGAAATGTTTCTTTTAGATATTTTTTCTGTAAATATGAACATTAAATTATAGATATGAATAAAATTAAAAATTTGAAACAATTTACAAAAGATAAAATAAAATTTACATTAAATTCCATAAAAAAATTAATATTATAAAAGGAATGTATCAGTTTCTAATCCTATAATTTCAGAAACATTTTCTTTACTTGAAGAAGGAGATGAATTGCTTTTTCTAAATTCTTTTGCTGCAAATAAGTTAGTTATAAATTAGAGATAATAAAACAACATGAGTCTATTACGAGCTATGTGAATTGATGTCAAACATATATATTTCCAAACTTTACATCAAATCGTATAAATCTACTTCGCAATGATACAATGAGACGTTTCGACGCTTACTTGCGTCTCTTCAGTCATAATTAGTTAAAACATAGTTAAGCCAGTACAATGTGATCCGTGTTAAGTCAATACTCCTCTAATATGTCCTAGGTCTCGCGATTTCTATTATTAAAAATTTTTTTATTACATCTAACACTTCTTTAAACAATAAAATCGAAATTCAAGTAATTTATAGTTTATAATATAACTCTCACCTTAACTTCCAAATTAAAAAACCTTAGATTGACACTAGTCACAGAAAGACAGAACATCTTGATACTCATGTTGTAAATACAAAAGTGATACGAATCGCGACCTAGCACTCTATATATATCTGTCACTAATTAGTAAACATGTTTTGTAAAAATTGTTTAAAAAGTTCTTTAGGAAGACTCCAATAAAGGAAAATAACTGCTATCTAATGTATCTAAATCTTCAATTTTATTTAAACCTCTGTTTTGTTGTTTTATGAAAATCATCTCTGATATTAATCTTTTATAATAATTGGGTTCACGATCAAGAATTTTTGTGTTTTCCCATTATTATTAATTTTTATTATTATTTAGTTATTAATAATAGAAATCGCGAGACCTAGGACATATTAGAGGAGTATTGACTTAACATGGATCACATTGTACTGGCTTAACTATGTTTTAACTAATTATGACTGAAGAGACGCAAGTAAGCGTCGAAACGTCTCATTGTATCATTGCGAAGTAGATTTATACGATTTGATGTAAAGTTTGTTATTGTATAAAAAGTTACCAAGTTTTGATTTTACATCCTCATTAGAAGTTTCTTCATTATTTTTATAATCAGAAGGAGGTGGAGGAATATTCTTTTAAGTTTTTTTGCTATAAATAAAGACAATCATTAAATACATAAGTTTAAAGTTGTCAATAAAAAAAATATATATAATTATGCATTAAAAAAAATAAAAACCATTATGTTTTGATTGTAATTCTTCATCAGAAGAAGTATAAATTTTTTCTTTTCTTTGTCTTTTTGAAGAAATCCTTTTAAAATCATTATCTTTTTTATTTTGAAGAATATTAATTTGTGCATTATCAGATGATAAAAATTGTGCTTCTTTCTCCATGTGTCTAGCAGTTTTATATGAGTCTAAAAAAACAGCAAGTATAAAATAAAAAAATATATATAAATAAAAATAAAAATTATATATTGTATATATAAAAGATTATATACAATTATTTTATCTATTTATTTATACCGTATAGTTCTAAAACATATTTAATTGAAATCTTTTCCCATGAAGTCTCTGGATTAAATAGTTTCTTCACTGCTTTTGTAACATTAATATGCGGTGGCCATAAACATATTTGATTATCAGTGTTAATCCATGACTGTGGAACTGGCACCAATCTGTACCAACGGCAACATTAAACATCTGAAAAATTGCAACAAAATTTATAAAATTAAAATACATGTTAACACAAGAAATTATAACAAGCAATTTGCTATTATGTAATGTATATACCTTGTAATATATCTGAATGTAGAAGTGGAAAAACATAAAATTTTGCCCTTTCCATGGCAGTAGTACAGCTTTTCTTATAATTTCATTAGCGGAAAAATATTTCAATTCAGTTAAATTATTGTCACTGACCACAAAAACATTCATATGTTGCGAATTACAAGGATATAAGTCATAACCAGAATAATTTTTATATTATTGACCAAGTATAACAGGGTTTCCATTTTTCAATCTTATGTGATGTATCATCACAATTTTATTATTTTTTAAAAAACAAAATCGATCAGCTTGCGTACAAGATAATTTAAAATCACTGAACTTTAATATATCGTAAGATTCAGAACATTCAAAAGGGAGTTTTTTCTTATTTTGTGAAATCAATATTGGATAATTCAAAGCATTATTTATACTTGCTTTCATTTTATTTGCTGTGTTTTTTTCGATTATTCTTCGATGTATTTGCTGTAAAGGTTTTTCATATTTTCTTAATACATTTTTTAAAATGTGCAAATGATTTTCGAACGGAAAAGCACTAAAAGTATCTAAAGGTCCAAATAATTTTACATCATCACTCAAATGTATCAAATTGTGTACCATATAAATCATATTTTCTTTACCATATAGAATTTCATAATAATGAACAAAATAAGATAAGAGCTCCTTTGAATATTGAAGATTATTTAGATAATCCGATGGGTGACAATATTCTGATCGCACAATGAAATACTATAAAGTGCTTCATATAATTAAATGGAAGATATTTATGTAATAAAACAGGTCCAAGATATAATAGAAATATTCTAAATTTGGTAGCTTTCCATCTATCCAATTTCTTCAAAATTAGTTTGGGTACTCTAACAAATTCAGACATATTTTTTTAAAGAAATCATATCTGAAGTTAGATTTTTTATTTGTTCACCAGATAATTTAGCAAATTCAATGTGAGTGGGACCTCTCAACCATAAAATTAGTAATTTTTTCATTTGTCCAAGACAAATCAAATGCATATAGTCTAGTGGAAAACTAGTGACCATTGGTAACGACATTTGTTCTCAAATAAAGATGTACCAGTATGATGTTCTGGATTTGTCTGTTTTTGAATGTTTCGTCTGTTCGCAAAGGACAATTATGATGAAGAAAGAGCATTCGGTGGTGTTCATAATTTCCTTCTACGCTACATTTACTACAACCAAACTAGCCATTGTGACCTTTCGTACAAGTGACAAATAATCGCACAGGAGTATCGCATATAATTGCTCTAATTTCTACTTTATATATATTATTTTTAAATGTAAATCCTATTGTATTCAATTTTTTAAATTCAGTTATAAAATATTGTAAAAAATGATTATTTGAACTGGGTTTATTATAACCGTGATAAGCACCAACAATAAAAGGAACGGTAGATCTATGATCTTTAAAAACAATTTGTACTAAAATAGGCCATAATTGGCTTTTTGAACTTTTTGAAATAGGAAGTCCATCTATATTAACATTAATAATAATAGGATTATTAAATTTTGAGGTATTCAACTGACTTAACTTATCAATAATTCCATTTTGTAACCCATAATGATAATAATGCCCATCTGATCTTTTATAAATTGTTGTCGATCGTGGAGTGTTCATTAATGTCCTCCCATCATTGGGAGATTATCATGACCTTCATCTTTTAATATGTGAAGTAGAGCTATTAGACTTGTCTGCTGAATTTTATATTTATCTGCCCATAAAATTAATTTTTCTCTAAAAGAAATGTCTTTAGTAATAAATGATGTGCAATGCATATGATGATGTTTTCCTTCGGAAAAAATAGAAACATCTGTTATAGTTGACTGATTTGCAGAAATAGAAAAATTATAAATGTCTTTATGAGTTGATAAATTAAGATGGTCAGTGACAGTTCTAGAAGAACTATTAGAATCTTCTTTATCAAATGATGAATTTAGGTTTACTTGATTTAATTCATTAATATTTTCCTTTAGAAGATATTCACCATTTGCATTTGTTTTAACGACGAATTTGCTGTCTACGTGATAATTTGCAGAAACTTTTCAGTTTTGGCATTTCTATAAGATGTGCTATTTTATGTAAAACAATTTATTTGTATAATATATATATGTATATACCTTGGCGACGGAAAAGCAATTCTTTTTCACCGTGTAAAGATTAAAGATTACGAAGGTCTTTTAAGTCTTTGGTTCTGTAAAAAAGAATATTATTGTTTTAAAAGAGAGAATATGTATTATATCTTATATCTCTCTTTTATATAATATATGCATAAAAACTATTTATGAAAGTTAATTGTTTAGAATAAAAAGGAAATATATATATATAAATCGCTTAATTTTTTAACTTTTAAAAATATATTTACCACAAATCTTGAGGGTTTAGCACTTATTTTCACACTTAATCTGCACTTTATCTGTTTAGAATCAAAGTTCTAAGTTGCGTTTCACTTTTAGGTGTACGACTTATATTAATTAATGCGATATGTCAGTTCAAGAGAGAATAACCGTGCTTCCTTATATCAATCTCGTACTTTCGAGTGTTTAGTCATCTTTGTTTATTAGCGCGTAACTACGCAACGTTGGGGCTTCCTAGACAAAAATTGAATGGGGCTCTTTGCAAATTTAAAAATTATAATGTGTATATGCAGGATACGTATTCCAAAAAGATCAAGATCTCAAAAATTATATATCTTAATAATTATATTCATTTTGAATAGCATGTTAACAGTCCTAGATATTTAGAAGCCCCTTAAAGCTGGGGACATGATTATAATTAATGAATATGAATCTTAAAAAACAATAATACAAGCGATTATTTTTTATTACTAAAATAAGATATTTTAATTAATCAAAAAGACATCCTTTAGACGTCTTTTAGCTTTGCCGAAAAAATACCTAAAAAGATGATCGAAAAGGTATCTTTTCGTCAACTAAATTAATTATGACTTTTATAAAACATCTTTTAAACATCTTTCAAAAGACAACTTTTTTGTGTAATCAAAAAGACATCCTTTAGATGTCTTTTAGCCTTGCCGAAAAGATAACTTAAAAAAGACATCTTTTCGCCATCTTTTAGTTTTATGTGCTGTCTGGGTAATTATTTATATAACATTAATAATTGTAATTCTTATAAAGCAATGCATTTTCCTAACCTGTGATAACCTTGCATTTTTATCGACACATATATACATATAAATATGCAAGATTGTACGCACACACATATATATATATATATATATATATATATATATGTATGTATATGTGTTGATAAAAATGCAACAGGTTATCACAGGTTAGGAAAATGCATTGCTTTATAAGAATTGCAATTATTAATGCTATATAAATAATTAATGTTTCATATAGTAAGGAATTTAATAAGTAAATAATATATAGTATATATGTATATACATACATATACATATTCTTGTAATTCCATATATAAATGAAAAGAGCAATTACCCACCATGCTCGCGATTCACCATTTTGCAAGGTACTATGGAACAATTATATCGATTGCAATCGCGCAACCAATAAAGTCCCATGATTGGTGCGTTGACTTTGAAACAATGATAACACATCTTATTTGTTTCATGCATTATTGTCTTGTAGTTCAGTGTACTTTTTTACTACAGTGCCTTTAGTACTGTATAGTAGTGTATACAGTGTTGAAAGAGAGGTTCTGTTTTATTAGTATTTATTAATTATTTGTGTATTATTAGTATATTGTTTACATATACAATATATATATATATATATATATATATATTCATTATGCCAA